GATATCTCCGCTCTTCTCTGAATGTCCAGTTCCATCCCCCCCCAAGTGAACTCTCGTCACATTCCTTGTGAGTCTCTTCACGCAGCAGCCCCTTCGCAGTGTCTCGTCATCATCACCATCATCATCATCAACATCATCATCATCATCCTCCTCCTCATCACCATCATCATTCGACTTGAAATTCGGATTTTTCATGATTTTTCGACATCCATTTTCCAAGTACCCAACGGTGCGATGAAAGTGACAGGTTCGAGCATCCATAGGTACCGCAAAAAGAGACATTGGAGTTTGTGCTAACACTGATCGTGTTTTTTTTTCCCCGCACGATGCGTGTGTCTGACAATGTATACCCCCAAATGGCTATTTAAATGGACTAAGTGATGAGCAACCATGGACATCGTGGGGTGCTCTCTTTTCGGATCCAGACATCTCCGCTCTGCTCTGAATGTCCATTTCCATGCCCTCCCCCAAGTGAACTCTCGTCACATGCCTTGTGCGTCTCTTCACGCAGCAGCCCCTTCGCAGCGTCTCATCATCAGCATCATCATCATCATCATCATCATCATTCGACTTGCGATTCGGATTTTTCGACATCCATTTGCCACGTCACTTTAACTTTTGCAAGCAAACGGGTGAAGCAAAGGAACGTCGGCGCTTCTCCATGCTTCGGTTGGACAGAAATTTTCCCTTCGTTCTGTCAAAGCGGTGATTTGCTAGCGCATGACGTCCATATTGATAAGCCTAAGGCTTGGTGTCAGCAGAAAAGGGCCCGGTCGCATGTCGGCTTTCGCACTGAGTGATCCCCCGCGTCCCCTGTGACACAACTACCTTTCGTGTCACCCCTTCTCAAGTTTGTTTTTTCCATCCCCAAAAATCATGTGCATCAAATCCCGCCAACCACCAACCTCACCGGCCGGTCATTTCCGAACCAGGCCCGAGAAGAGACCGGCCGTTGAAGTCGTTGAGGCCGTTGAGGTGGACGATAGCGACGAAGAGGAGGTTAGCGATAGCGCCGGTTGATTTGGCAGATGGTTTCATAGGGATAAAAATTGGATAATATAATGGGGATATAATGAGATATGAATGGATATACTGTAGTTGGTTCATGGTTGGTGTGTATGGTTTAATGACGTTTAATGGGGATCAACATGCGATGATAATGGAGGTTTTTTTTTGTGGCATGTTAAGCATGGTCAACTATGGTTTGTGGTAGATATATAATATTATATAACATACTGATAGATATATATAAATGATATTATATAATATTAACCATGGTAGATATATAATGATATATCAATACGTAATGGAATATGAATGGGATTTAATGGGATGACGAAATGATGGATGGCTTCCATCATGGGACTCATGGGACTCATGGGACTCATGGGACAGGGAAATCCAATCGCAAATGGGACATGATTAATAATGAATATAATGATCATGGGAAATTATGAGATAATTATGGGATATACGAACTTTTTTTAGATGCTGTGGTTGTAATTTTCGGGAAAATTCTTCTTATGCGATATGGGATGATCACAGCCACCATAGCCGGTATGGTGGCGTTGGGTATGCACCTGGTAATTGGATGTGTTGCTGATCCCCAGTCATGGTTCGTTAGAGATGGTTTATGGTTGGTACCACATTAGAGTGTTAATTGGTGGACATATTGGCACGCCATATATATATATACACACATGAGGGTCAGATTGTGCAACTATATATATATATGATATATGTGACTATACATATATATATATAGCAGATTATTGTGAGTTATGCCTGTTTTCATTCCTGGCCTGTAAGTGCAATTACAGGGATTCACGAGAGATGATGTTTGGATTTTAGATGCTTACATATACCATACCTTGACTTCGGATGATTTCAGGTTATCAAAGCTTATCAAAGCTAGGAAATTGATTAACCATGATTAACCATTACGATGGTTAAACCATACCATGATTAGTTACTGATTATGATTAGAATTGATTAACCAATGATTTCAGATGATTGTGGTTGAACCATACCATTATCATTATGCTTTCAGATGATTTCAGATGATTTACTGTATGACAGTTGGGTGTCATCGACTTGTGATGACGGAGTTGCCAGGCCGAGAAAGTTCGGTCCAAGAGTCGGTTGCGAGACCCAATGATTTTTGGACAACGACCATTTGGGGATAGAAATCCCAGCCAAAAAAAATATGGTTATTTTAGCTATTTTTTTTTATGGCCTTGGGCTTATCGCAGTAGATAATTTCTATGTCAGTTGGTTTATGGCATTGGGTTTTTGATTTTTCTAGATAATTTCTATGTCATTCATTCTCATTCTATGCGATGAGGTATGATATCAGGTGGTTGTCCCTTATTGTCCTGCATGAAAGGGGTGCCTTGAACATCAACATCCTTGAGCATCGTGTGGAGATTTTCTCTTCTCACAATCCAGGTTGCTGTCTCTGATGGTTGGGCCTGTTTCAGGGGAACCAAAACTGCTTGGGTAGGTCAGTAGTTTATGTCACTTTTTGTGCTAATCATGTCAATCATATCCAGCTAAAAAAGACTTCAGTGACTGCAGTAATCCTTCTAATATTAAACACCCCCATTGTATGGTCAATATGTGTTTTTATCCCCTACTAACCCATGGTTTATGGGGATGTTTTTTGATGTTTTGATATTAGGGGTGGTCGTCATTACCATGCTTCGGACCTCGGGAACTGACTTGGTGTTGGACCTCAGGTCTCGCAAGGTGCGGCTATGCTCTCGGAGCGGTGGGCGACTCAGAAAAAAGTGGTGGACACATCCAATTTATAGCTCCATACATCTCCATACCATGCATGGGTGCTGGTATAATCTGGTATATGTGTCATATTCACCCCAGAAATGGTGCAGGTATATGTGTAAGTGAATCTACCAAATGTGGTATAGGTGATGAAGATCTGAAGGAGGTGATCGAGGAATCATGTTTGCCTAGAGGCCTATAGAATGCATGTATACAAATAGTTACACTGCCTCTGGAGATGGATGATGGCATTAGCTGCTCATACTCATACCTTGACACAGGTCTGACCAAAAGACACAACTATCCAAGTTGGGATGAATCGGGACCCATCCCCAGAAAGTATAAACCAATCCCCATCCACCTTCAGCCCTTGCCATGCCATGGCTCAGGGAAGCGGCGGTCTGGCTCAGCAAAGCGGAGGTCTGGCTCAGCGAAGCGGAGGTCTGGCTCAGCAAAGCGGAGGTCTGGCTCAGCGAAGCGGCGGTCTGGCTCAGCGAAGCGGAGGTCTGGCTCAGGAAAGCGGCGGTCTCGCAGCCGGCACGGGGGCCCGACAGTAGAGGGGCCTTTCGATGGCGGAGACAGGTGGCCCACAATGGTGTTAGGTGAGATTTTGGAACAATATGTTTTAGGTCTGAGCTACCTCTCCTTTGGGTTTTTAGCTCTCTGAGCCCTCTTCTCTGAGCTACCTCTTCTCTGCGCTGCATCTCCAGCTGCTATTTCTTGGCTGAGCGGCTTCTTGTGTGAATTACCTCTTGTATCTTCTTTTCTGAACTACCTCTTCTATTATCCACTTCTTCTGTGCGCTACCTCTTCTTTGCGTTGCTTCTTCTCTCAGCCAATTCCTCTCTGGGCTACATTTTCTCTCAGCCAAGTCTCCTCTGAGCTAGGGCTTTCTGAGCCAACTCTTCTATTCCCTCGTACCCTGAGCTACATCATCTGTGCAGCAACACTGACAGGCAACCGCCAGTTGCATTCCCGCATGCAATACCACGAGAGTGGCAACCTGAGCTCTTGCTACAGACTCGTGCACATTTTCCGGATCGCATCTTCGAAATGTGGTCCAAGATTGTGGTGATTTTGGCATTATATATTAATCGAGCTTTCGCCACAGTATCGTGCACTTTTGTCCAGCAGCTTCCCAAGACAGAGGCCCGCACTCGCGAACGCGCAGACGCTCCCTTCACAGAAACCGTTTCGCTCACTTCAATTCCTTTCATCCGGAAACTCACACGCACATGTGCGCGCTCTTTTGAACGCTCGCTCACTCTTGCAGTGATCTATTGCGTCAACTTCCCAAACTAATTATAGTCATGCTTTCTGTGCAGGAGAGTTTGTGAACTGCGTGCTACTCATTGACAACTGTCCGCAACTCGGATGTTTCCCAATTAAATCTCTGTTCATAATCAACCATCAACAAATCAATGTGATTTTTGCTGGGGATAGGCGAGCTCAATTTGGTAGATTTTAGCCAACCAAACAGTGGGAGATGATGCTCGGCGGAACTCTCCCGGTATTGTACAGAGATGTACAGAGTTTAGAAAATTAGGATGATACAAAACCGGTTAGAAGGTCACAGGGACAAGGATGACAAACACTCAAAATTGCTATTGACCGTCAGAGTCATCAGAGATCTCAATCGCAATTGTCTGTGGCACGTTTCTTTGGAGTCTTCTCATACGCTTGCGGAAATATTTCTCAGCTGACTGGCAAAGCGATTTCACAAGTTTTTTCCGCAAAAGCTCTTTCCACTTGTAGGGATACTGTGATATAGATCGCTGTAAAGTTGCGCTGACTGCAGCAACCTGTTTCCAAGCCAAACTTTGCTTCTTGCTGGATAACACATGGAATGATGAGAAAAATGTCCAATAAAAGAATTGTCACCCTGCTGCCTCTGCTCTGATGCACGCGCGCAGACGGAATTCACATTTTGTCTGGAGGAAACCATCCACTTTCTGCTGAGCCCTTTGTTTGTTAGCTGGGTATCCAAGGCTAGGCATGTTGCATGTTGCAATTCGCTAGCGGCTACCGGGTTGGTCAACCAAGATCCTAAGAGTTGTTGTTGGTTAATGGTTTATTGTGCAAACATCTTGTAATCACATCGATGCAGACCAGCTCATGGTGGAAATCATGGTGGAAATATGGCAGGTTGTTTAATTTTTCATCATTGAATTTTATTGAGATGTTTCACTGATTACGTCGCAATGCTTGGTGGTTCAAGACGAGAGTGTGCGGAGAAAATTGCGACGCTATGGCTAAGAACATCAGCGTGGAACTGCTGAGTAGCAAGGTTTGCACTCTGCCAGTACGGCCAAACATGACGATCGGAGAATTGAAAGAGGAAGTGAAGGTGGGATTCCGGGCGTTTGAAAAGAAAGCATCGTCTGAAAGACATATCTCCCTTTGGTCAAAACACACCCGTGTTTTGTTGGGTCCAGACAGTCAAATATCAGGAAGATGTTCATGAAATTCATGTGACGTCGCTTTACCCATCTTTACCCTGTAAGTTTTCCATCCGAGGATGAACTCACCCGGAGACTCAGCACCGTGGAGCCAAAGTGCAGGCACCGGGGAAAATTTAACAGGGCGTGGCGTTGCCCAAAGAATCATTTAGCTGACTTAAGTACTTACTTAGCTCTATTCAGTTCTTAGTTTGTTTAGTGAATGGGAAGTAGACTCCAAAGCTCTCACGATTTCCGATATTTTCATGTTTTGTTGTGTCTGGTTGTCGTGATGCGGATCCTGATTCATTCATGACCTCTGCGGCTCAGTACCAAAGTCCATTGTCGTTGAGGTCCTCATGTTGTTTCTTTCTTGGGGTCAGAAATGGTCAGAATCCAACACGCTCTTAGATTGTCCTGCAACTGGCTGCAGGTTATCTTCTACATCAAGCCGGCGCTTGAGTGTGTCAGCAGAAAGGCATCTGGCTGCAATGTGAAAGATTTGCTTGGCATACGCATCCCTAGCACTGAAACATCCATCATACCGTTTGCCTTTGAAGGCTGCCTTTGCTTGTTGCGACTTGTCATCCCGAAATCTGTGACTCAAATCGGGTCTGGTGCGTTTGCTGGCTGCAGCTCATTGACGAGCCTGACCATCCCAGAGTCCGCAAATATTACAATGGGAGAGGATGCATTTCGTGACTGCAGCTCCTTGAGGAGTTTGACCATCCCGAAATCTGTGACTCAAATCGGGTATGGTGCGTTTGATGGCTGCAGCTCTTTGATGACCATCCCAGAGTCTGCAAATATAAAATATAAATACTATATTATTAATTATTAATTGGAGATGCTTTTCATGACTGCAGCTTTTTAACAGGTTTAGTTTTACCCGAGTCTGTGACTCAAATTGGGAATTCGTGATTGCTTAACATGCCTTAACCCTCCCGCAGTCCGTGCCGGAAAATTGAAAGGGGGGCCTTGGATGGTTTCAGCTCGTTGACCAGCTGGCGGCTTCCAATTTTCCTTCGAGGCGCTGCGGCGTCCAAAACGATTGAAAGGCGTCCCAGTTGAGACACTTCAGTGGAAGATGGACTGATGAAAAGACATTGAAGAACTTGCTGCGGATGGGTTGGGTGGGGCTTGATACACTTGCAACATCTTGCAACACATAATTAAGTTGGAATAATCCCTACTTTTCCATAATTATTATCAATATCTTAGGTTCTATCATAATCTATACCATGGAACTTATGGGACAACGGGTACCAACTTGTATGTCCATCCCAAATTAGTAAGTGCTCTTTATGTTTGGACATTCCACTAATATTTTTTTAACCTGGTGAACTAAGATGGCGATTGCCCAGTTACATCTGTTAACTAACCGGGATCACCCTAAGAATTGGATGTTTACTGCTGAAGGTATTTCAATACCCCTGGGATCAGACACACCCAATTATCATGAAAATTGTTGGTTAAAACATACAACCCATATCAACCCATATGATATCCATATAATAAGAATAATATACATATATAATCATATATACATATATATATATATCCATCACATCTCCATAGAATTCAGACAGCACCCACTTTGTTTGTTGATGAGTTGACACCACCCCACCACCCCATGCCACCCAGGCGCAGTTCCCGGACCCGACGAAACGACGTCCGGGCTCACCGCGATGGCAGCCGGTCGCGTGGTGACCGGGGCTACCGCCACAGGTCCAGGTGACCTTGGGCGGGCGTTTCAATGGATTTGATGATAGGCTTGGGTTAGACAATAAGGTGGGTAAAACAATGTCATAAACCAGCCATTTGGGAATGATTTATGGTTTATACCAGCATATATCAGGGTTTATTAATATTCTATTGTTTTATGCACATTCTGTTTTCGGGAGGCCAAAAACAACTTATATAGGCAAAATCTCCTGTTGGGAATGTGGTGTTCTTCTGCCAGCACATGACACCAAAAAAAGCAATTACCTTACTTCAAGTGATCCTCACCGTGGCAAATTGTTTTGTCATAGTTTCTGACAGCTCATCTGGAAGTATATATGGCATATATTTTCTGACATTCTATTCTAGCATTCTGTCTGTGACATTCTATTCTGGCATTCTATCTGGCATCTATTCTGACATATCTGATATCCTATCTGGCATCCTTTCTGGTATCTCGTCTGAAATTTTTGCTGGCATTCTTTCTGATATTCTATTTGGCATCTATTCCGGCATTCTTTCTGGCATCTATTTTGGCATTTTATTTGGCATCTATTCTGACAGTTTATTCTGGCATTCTATCTGGCATCTTTTCTGACATTCTATTCTGGCATTCTATTCTGGCATTCATTCTGGCATGCATTCCGGCAGTCTTTCTGGCATTCTATTTGACATTCTGTTCTGGCATCTATTTTGACATTCTCTCTGACATGGGCACTGAGATCTGGCGCTCGCGGTTGAGGTCTGGCAGTGCCCACTGAGATCTGGCGCTCGCGCTTGAGGTCTGGCAGTGCCCACTGAGATCTGGAGCTCGCGGTTGAGGCCCGGCAGTGCCGACCGAGATCTGGAGCTCGCGGTTGAGGCCCGGCAGTGCCCACTGAGATTTGGAGCTTGCCGTTGAGGTCCGGCAGTGCCCACTGAGATCTGGAGCTCGCGGTTGAGGCCCGGCAGTGCCGACCGAGATCTGGAGCTCGCGGTTGAGGCCCGGCAGTGCCCACTGAGATTTGGAGCTTGCCGTTGAGGTCCGGCAGTGCCCACTGAGATCTGGAGCTACCCTGATAAAATCTAAAAAGCATCACTGGCAGGGGGGAAACAAGTTCCTTCAATTTTCTGCACGTTGCTCAAGGTCGGCCATAGCTAGTATTTTTTCGATCATTCCCATTCTGTGGCCAGTTGGGCATGTCATAACATATCAAAATCATCAACCCCCCAAATCACAACATGTCACAATTTGCCAACCCCCGAATCATAATATGCGCGCGACCCAAAATGACAAATGACACAGGTCCATCGGTACCCCAACGGATTGACCCCTCGATACCCATTTGGTGTTCCAGGGATCGGCGGCGTGATGATTACCACGACCGTGGGCGAGGCAGCTACAGCTTGGGACACCAAAACACAAGAGATGTACAGTTTCAAAAACAATAGGTTATCATCATTCTTCCCATCAAAATTCACAGGGCAATGTTGGGTTTTAACATTTTGGACACGCAAATCTGAAAGTGGAACTCTTGGAAGGACATGTAGGGAAAATCACCTACCATTATTAAATTTTTAAGTACTCATACAGAAGTTTGAGGACTGTTATTTTTGCATTATCCTTGGATATATTGGTAACATCTAATAGTATATTCATGATATCATCAGTATTCATCATTACTTTGGTACAATCAGGCAATCGACATCACCGCTCAGACGTACGTGATCGGTTGGAATCTCAGCACAGCATATTGGCAGATGCTGCTGGTACTGATGGTACTTCTGCAAGAATTGCACGAATTTTCAGTGTTTCTTGGATCATTTGATTTAGATCAAATTAATTACCGGTTAGTTTTTGTTTCGGCACAATGCGCATGTATTGTACATCTCTGTTATCATTGATATATATTGATATGATCTCCCCAGTTTTTCTCGAGGTATCGCGATTATCGAAACGACCGTGCTCCTAGCTGAGAGGAAGGGAACACGAGCCTTACATGTGAGAAACTATTGTTTGGATTTCTTGGAATCGGGCCTCATAGTTCTGGCATGTTCTTATCCACATGCCATGTGAATCTCTGAATCAGCATGAGATTCCCATCGTCATTGCACTTTCATTTTTCCAAGGATCGAGGCCGACCCTCGAGTCGGCATCGTGGGTCTGGAGCTCAGATACATGGTGATTTTCAATAGGTACGTTAAATAACCAGAGTGTCTATCCTATATGTGTGACAGTGCGTGTATATATATATATATCAGATATCATGTGTATCTGGCATGTATATAGAATATCGATATGTGTATAAACTGTATATTAATATTATATTATATTATATTATGTTATATTATATTATATTACATTATATTATATTGTATTATATTGTATATAAGTATATGTATACATAACTCTTGCACAATGTATAAAGTGCGTATGTGTGTGTCTTTTATGTATTCGACATAGCGTGAAACATATTGTTTCGAAACATCTTCGGAGAGCCAATGGCCAGCCAATTTCCGGAGAACTTGAGTGCCACACTGCCACATCCCACCAGTTGTTTCAACCACTGTCACTATACTGTAATAACCTCAAAGGCTGTCATTACACAGCATTATCCTCCAATACAGTTCTTGAACTTGGGACCCCCACGTACTGTGCAACAGTTTGATTGGGATTGCTTGGGCTTAGGGAATGCTTGTTATGATATGTGTATCCGAGTATATAATGTATAGATGCGCACGAATACATGTCATTGCATGTGCTGAGCCCGAGACTCCGGTGACTAAATTGAAATTAATTAGAGTTTTTTTGCATTTCAAGAGTGATTTCTCAAATAGTGGTGTTCAAGAAGTGTTTAATTTTATATATTAGTAATTAATAGTTAATTATATTTATGTACACATAGTATGATAATATGTAGATATAGCATATATATATATATATGTCTATATATAGCACAGTTGTTCACCTTCCTGTGGGCCCGCAGGAGAGGAGATGATCGGCATCGGAAGGCCAATTTTTTGGCCTCGTTGGCCCTTCATGGGGAAATCATGAGGAAATCATCATCAATTTTTATGTGGGGTTAACCATGAAGAATAGGGAGTTTTGTGGAGATATGATGAGATGTTTGCAATACATATATATATATTTATTTATACATGTATTTATTTGTTGAATTTTGTTGACAGTCTGTAGAAGCAACAGTAAGATTATCTTACTCGGGTGTGTCCAAAAATTAGGTATCCCCAGTTCTGGCCATTCTTTTATACGGAAAATGGCCAGATTGACCAGTGGATGGAATGAGGTAATGTTCAGACCCACATAAAGGTTCAAAGGTGGGTTCAGCTATTTGTTTATTAGTTATTATTGGACCTCATACCAACATTGTGGACACTATGTGCGTTAGAAGTTTGAACCAGGGCATTGCACAGGACCTATTAGCATCACTTTCAGTAGGCGATTTCGATGATTTCGTCTGTAAAAGGCAGCCTATGGCAACTGTCGATTCTGGCCATTTATCTAGCAAACCCAATGAACCACCCCCGATAAAAACCTGCAGATGGGTGGTATGAACCGAATGAACCGTCCCCAAACGGTGTTTATGGCAGCCATGGTTTCCTTTGTCAGGACCGAAACGATCGTCGAGGCGATCGTGATAGGTGGCAACCTTGGAACTACCTGCAGGTACAGGCCATCACAGTTCAACACATGTGATGTTGTTTTTTGGAGGATGATGATGATGAGGAGGAGGAGGACAAACGACTGTAAATGAACATCGTGTTTTTCTTCACATGTTTTTTCATTTTGAGAAACAACTTTTTTCCCGAGAGCGCCTGCGAAGGGTTCTTCGTAAAAAAGCAGCCGTTATACTAGATCTTCACACCTTCACACCTGCAGATCTAGATCTTCACACTCTCACATCTGCCGATCTACATCTTCACACCTTCACATCTGCTGATCTAGATCTTCACACCCTCACATCTGCAGATCTAGATATTCACACCTTCACACCTGCAGATCTAGATCTTCACACTCTCACATCTGCCGATCTACATCTTCACACCTTCACATCTGCTGATCTACATCTTCACACCTTCACACCTGCAGATCTAGATCTTCACATCCTCACATCTGCAGATTTAGATCTTCACACCCTCACATCTGCAGATCTACATCTTCACACCTTCACACCTGCAGATCTAGATCTTCACACCCTCACACCTGCCTCACATCTAGATCTTCACACCCTCACATCTGCAGATCTAGATCTTCACACCTTCACATCTGCAGATCTAGATCTTCACACCCTCACACCTGCAGATCTAGATCTTCACACCCTCACATCTGCAGATCTACATCTTCACACCCTCACACCTGCAGATCTAGATCTTCACACCCTCACACCTGCAGATCTAGATCTTCACACCCTCACACCTGCAGATCTAGATCTTCACACCTTCACATCTGCAGATCTCTTCTCGCTCTTCTTCTATTCTCTCTTAAGGCGGGGGCGGTGCCGCCGGAGCGCCACGAAACGCAACCCTTTCGCACGAAATGGACGTTGGACGTCCAAAACCTAGGTAAAATTGCGATTTTGAAGCGTCGCCGGCAACCCTTTCGCACGAAATGGACGTTGGACGCAAAAACTGAGGAAAAATTGCAACTTTTATTGGTCGCGCGCAACCCTTTCGCACGAAATGGACGTTGGACGTCAAAAACTGAGGAAAAATTGCAACTTTTATTGGTCGCGCGCAACCCTTTCGCACGAAATGGACGTTGGACGTTAAAAACTGAGGAAAAATTGCGACTTTGAAGCGTCCCGCGCAACCCTTACGCACGAAATGGACGTTGGACGTCAAAAACTGAGGAAAAATTGCAACTTTTATTGGTCGCGCGCAACCCTTTTCGCACGAAATGGACGTTGGACGTTAAAAACTGAGGAAAAATTGCGACTTTGAAGTGTCCCGCGCAACCCTTACGCACGAAATGGACGTTGGACGTCAAAAACTGAGGAAAAATTGCGACTGTGAGTTGTCAATCGCAACCCTTACGCACGAAATGGACGTTGGACGTCAAAAACTGAGGAAAAATTGCGATTTTACTTGGTCAATCGTAACGCTTTCGTCTGTGTAAAAGTGTCTGTGTGTAAAAGCGTCTGTGTGTAAAAGTGTCTGTGTGTAAAAGTGCCGTGTGTAAAAGCGGTTGTGTGTAAAAGCGTCTGTGTGTAAAACGGTCTGTGTGTAAAAGCGTCTGTGTGTAAAAGCGTCTGTGTGTAAAATCGTCTGTGTGTAAAAGCGTCTGTGTGTAAAAGCGTCTGTGTGTAAAAGCGCTGTGTAAAAGCCTCTGTGTGTGAAAATGTTGTGTGTAAAAGTGTCTGTGTGTAAAAGGGTCTGTGTGTAAAAGCGTCTGTGTGTAAAAGGGTCTGTGTGTAAAAGCGCCTGTGTGTAAAAGCCTCTGTGTGTGAAAGCGTCTGTGTGTAAAAGGGTCTGTGTGTAAAAGCCTCTGTGTGTGAAAGTGTTGTGTGTAAAAGTGTCTGTGTGTAAAAGTGTCTGTGTGTAAAAGCGTCTGTGTGTAAAAGGGTCTGTGTGTAAAAGCGTCTGTGTGTAAAAGCGTCTGTGTGTAAAATCGTCTGTGTGTAAAAGCGTCTGTGTGTAAAAGCGTCTGTGTGTAAAAGCGCCTGTGTAAAAGCCTCTGTGTGTGAAAATGTTGTGTGTAAAAGTGTCTGTGTGTAAAGCGTCTGTGTGTAAAAGCGTCTGTGTGTAAAAGGGTCTGTGTGTAAAAGCGCCTGTGTGTAAAAGCCTCTGTGTGTGAAAGTGTTGTGTGTAAAAGTGTCTGTGTGTAAAAGCGTCTGTGTGTAAAATCGTCTGTGTGTAAAAGCTTCTGTGTGTAAAAGCGTCTGTGTGTAAAGGAGTCTGTGTGTAGAAGCGTCTGTGTGTAAAAGCGTCTGTGTGTAAAAGCGTCTGTGTGTAAAAGCGTCTGTGTGTAAAAGCGCCTGTGTGTAAAAGCTTCTGTGTGTAAAAGCGTCTGTGTGTAAAAGCGTCTGTGTGTAAAAGCGTCTGCGTGTAAAAGTCTCTGTGTGTAAAAGCTTCTGTGTGTAAAAGCGTCTGCGTGT